GCTACCATTTAATGCTACTAAAGAAGCCGACTGTTATATCAAAAAAAAAATCTTAATATCATGGTGGCTACCTTTCAATAAAATTGATTTTCTTTGTTGGCCTCTGTATCTTCATTAACACACTTTTAAATGTTATCCTAAAAGGGGTCTGCCTTGCCAGAGGATTCATGAGACAAAAGAGGTGAGAACCTGTTTGGTGCAGTAAAGGCACAAGCTCTCAAACCAGACAAATTAGGGTTCAAATCAAGACTCTTACAAGTTTCAGCTTTTTTCCTTAGAGCAAAACTTAAACTCCCTGAAACTTAAATTTTCCTTATCATGAACAAAGGTGCCAATATGGAAACACTACCAATCCTATGAAACCATTCATTCTTCAAAAAAATGGACACAATATCCTACTTTATGCCAGGTATGAGGTTGACCTCTGGGGCTACAGTAATGAACCTGACTGAGGCCATCTTTAACGAGGCCGTTTATTCAGACATGCTGTACGACGATCACATAAGTGTTCTCTGAACACTATGCTACTGCTAAAAACTCAGCATTCACTCTTGAATCATATGATATAAGCTGCTTCCTATGTGACAACTGTCAGTTCAGCTAGCGCAGGCCTTTCCACGAAGATTTCTTAAGAGGGCAGGGCTGAGCCTTACTCACCTACAGAGCAGCTTGTTAGACAAAGAACGCAGGCTTTAGAACCAAATGGTCCGAGCTTCCAAACCCTGCTCTGCTTCTTACTAGCTCTGACTACAAAAGAGCACACAAGTAGCTGAAGACCCAAATCTGTTCTCTCCTTCCCCTCCAGGAGCAGAACAGATTTGAACAGAACACTCATATTTGTTTGTCTGTTTCTGAGCCACAGCCAGCAGTGCTCAGGGACTACTCCCAGCTATGTGCTCAGGGTTGCTCCCAGCAGCGTTTGAAGGACAACACGGTGCTAGGGATGAAACCCAGGTCTCCGACATGCAAAGCATACACTCTCCAGCTCGAACACTCCAGATTAAGGATCATTTTCCCCAGCCTGCCTTAGAACAAAGTCTGGTGCTGCAATCAAGTTTGAACCAGTGGAATGTAAGCAGAAATGACAGGTGGACTGTCTCAGAAGGGTCCTGAGACTGGGCTAACAATGGCATCTTGGACGATGGGATCACTTTGAGAATGCCAATATGGACACGGCACAAGAGAAAAGATCTTCACCACTGTGAAGGACTGTGACACATCAAATTAGCACAATAATTCACCCCAGCTCGTTAGCCTCTCTGGACCTTGGCATCTCCTGTTTCAAAAAAAAAAAAAGATGGGACACGGTGTTTTCCTGACAAGGTTATTGTGTGGGCTGAGGCAGAGCTGGCTTCACAGCAACCAAGAGGGCTAAGAGAAGTGGCTGTCCTCCTATAACTCTTTTAAGATGCAAAGAAAAGTGTTGGTGCTTGAGGGGCCCAGACGTGGCTCAACAGGTGCTGCTGAAGGCTTCCATCCAAGCCAGGCGAGCTCTCCTGACAAAATTCCCCTCCAGCACCTGGCCGGAGAGTCGCCCTGAGAGGAAAGGCTCCTCCTCTGTTCAGGATGACTGTCAGGACTGTAGCAGCAATCAGACCCTCACCTTCACCCTGACACGCTGCCCCCTTGGATTCTCTTCTCCCCCTTTGGTTGCCCAGAGCTGCTCCGAGCTCTCGCCTCTCAAATGAACAAAATCTCTTCCTGTCTCTCCCTGCAGCACCCCCTGGCCTCTCCCCTGGCTAGCAGCCCCTTTCTGTTCAAACACAGGGATTCCCCTCGCCTTCCAAATGCACTGCAGGAAAGCTACGTTCTCCTGTGTGGATCGGGAGATGTGACCCATCACCTTAATTTTTCACTGCGAACACTTAAAGTTCTTTTTCCTTGTTTGCAACATGAGCGCGGGTCTGGGAAGCATAACTTTTCATGCACAATCAAAATCTGCTTTATGTGCCAAACACTTCTATTCATTTCCCCCAGTGATCCTCTTCCTGCTCTGGCAGAAAGCAGGAACCCTCTTTCTCCCCGACAGTGACAGTGCTGTCAATTTCCCTGTGATTGTCACTTGTACCCACTGCTCCTCGCAGGTGCAGCATAGTCGCCCTGCCCCCCCCCCCCCCCCTTGCTCCTGCCCCTCTCTCACATTCCCACCAGCCCCGGCTTTCCTCTTCTGCTTTGCCCAGACCTACCAGTCTCAGCCTAGCTGTCCTCTGGGGTGAAGCGGGTCCAGACTTAATGATGGCTTTGGATGGAAGCAAAGCAAACATGACCCCTGACCCCTGGCTGTCAGGGAGTTTGAGGGCAACAGCAGGCAGACCACTAACCACAATGACCAAGAGGACAGGGACAGAGCCTTGTGGCTTCAGGAGGACAAAGACATGGGCAGGACTTAGTATCCAGACAGACAGGAAAAGAGAACCCTGAGTTCAATCGCTGACGTGGTGAAGCTTCGAAGGGGGCAGAAGTCCCAGGTCTAAGGACATCAGAAGAGTGGCTAGCATGCCCCATGCCCCTCTCTCCTCACGGGGGGGGGGGGTCCTAACTCCCACTGCAGTGCCTACATGCTCTCCCACCACTGTGCACCTGGACTGAGCCCCCTCTGGACAAACATCTTATTCAAAGGGTGTGACCCACCTGGGCATAAAACCCTGGGATTCCTCACACTTCAAATTCACATTCCACATGAATTTGCATCACACACTGAGAATGCTGACACAGGAAGCACTGCATGCCAGAATGCATCAGGAAACGAGACCCCAACACCACGGGCTTTGTTCCCTCTCCAAGCGCCTTCTGCTTCTCCAAGGTGAAGCCAGAGGTAGCGAGGCCCAGTGCTACCCCCGGCTGAGACCCGATGAGGGGGCAAGGACAGATGAAGCTGTCCGGTGGGGCTGAACAAACTGGGCAGAGGGGAAAGGCTCCACGCTAGCCCAAGCCTTCCCTCTGTCCTGCACACCTGCCACCGCCTCCCTTTAAATCCATCTTGCTGTTCACTTTTCCCTAAGGCAGCTGCCCACCCCTGAGGCTGCAAGAGGTGGGGAGACCCACAGGGCCCAGTGCCAGGGCCCCAGGTCCACCCAGTACTGTGGCCTGGCAGGCAACCAGCAGGTGGTCTCACTTGCTTTCCCAGGGACGGCCCCTCCTCCTGCCCTGCCTTCCACCCTTGCAGACTCAGTCCCATCCCCCACAGCACCCGCACTAGGGGCTTCCCTTCCTAGCACCCTCCGGAGTCCCATGAGTCACTGATCACTGATTGTAGCCCAGACTCAGGATGGATGACAAATACAGTATAACAAATATCAATAAAATATTTCCGGCTGGTTTGCAAAACACAGGACCCAAAAGAAGAGAGAGAACAGGGGGAATGCCCTGCCACAGAGGCAGGGTGGGATGGGGGTATGGGGGGTGGGAGGGATGCTGGGACCCGTGGTGGTGGAGGATGGGAGCTGGTAGAGGGATGGGTACTTGATCATTGTATAACTGAAACCCAAGCACAAAAATTTATAAGTCTATAACTGTACCTCATGGTGTTTCACTAATAAATAAATAAATAAATATTTTGGGCTGGAACCAGAGGAGCAAGTCAGCCTGAGCAACTAGACATAGCTATGTCTGTGTGTTGGTGGCCAGGGTGGGCTGGGATGAGAGAACTCAGCCCAGCCTGGTTCTGCTTCCAGATCACCACGCACACACAAACGGCCACACGTTGCTCCCTGAAGTTTTGAAAGATCTCAAGAGGCACCCAGATTTGACTGTCCATTTATGGTAAGTCCCAACCACTTTTCCAAGCATCTGAGACAGAGTCTTTAAGTGTCAAGACAGCAGCCCCCTATACCTGCCAGGTGTCACCCCACTCTCCTGAGAGGCAGAGGGCTACTAAGATCAGGCTGAGGTTCTACTGTGGGTTTTCTAACACCAAAGTCTGCTTTCTTTCCAAACACCTATGAACTCCTGCAAGGGTGTAGACAAGTGTCTTCCAAAGTGGGAACCATCAGCCCTGGATGGTCCGGGAAACAGCTCCAATGTTACTGGAGGCAGGCAGCAGTAGCCTTGATGCAGCTGGTGGGCACTTGGTTCACTTAAGGAAAGGGTCCCAGTGGGGCACTGTGTGATTATGTGATTGTTTTTTATCCTCAAAAGGGAGCAAAAGGTCAGACAAGTTAGGGACTCTCTGTTGTAGACAGACATCACGTGAAATCATTCTTCTGCGTGGACACTAAATTCAAGACTCTACGTGGGGGTGTAAACAGCATTCCTCTTTGGAATGGGGGTGGGGGTCCCTGGCACAAGTCGGAGGGGGGAATTGAAGGCAGGACAAACTCAATTCTGGCTGGGAGCTGGTTCAACACATGGTGTTAGAAGTGGGCCCAGAGTCAGAGGGGTCTCCGTGGGGAGGGGCTCCCTAAGAGAAGAGTCAAGGTTCTTGACTCCTGGGATCACAGTCTCATCTCCCTGCTCGTGGGTCCTGCCCATGGCAGCCCACTCCCTGGGCCCTCCTACCATCCCTTCAGAGTGATCTGGGCATCCCTGGTGAGGGACACACACTCACAGCATCCAGCACTCCTAGCTCCAGATCACCTGAGGCAGGCAAAGCCTCTCTCAAGCCCCGCCTTCACTTCTCCAGAAGAAGGACCGGGAACCCAAACCAACTTTGCCAACAGTGTGGAAGCACCATATTTGTAATACGCAGCAGGAAACCAGCCCTCCAGCACATCGTGTCTAAACCACAGCTGCACAGCACAACTGACTTGCCTCAAGGCCTGGGGCAGACACAAGGCAAGAGGGCAGAGACCTCTTCCTCCAGACAAGCCTCCTCAGTGGGAAAGGGCCTGTTCCCTGCTCTGCCCACCCGTGACACTGCCTCCTGCTGTCCCGCAGAGCTGAGGGCTGCGCTGAGGAATGAGTCCACCCCGCGGCCACAGGCACCCAGAGGGTTTGGCTTTCCCGAGGGTCACAGGCCAACAGGCCACTTACCCTGGGTCACAGGCCAGCAGGCCACTTACCCAGCACGGCCAGGCAGCAGAGCACGCGGAAGCAGCCCTTCATGTCGACAGCCCAGCGGGGGAGCGCGGGGGCTTCCTCCGTCCCAGCGGTCAGCGTCTCATTGCCGGCGGCGATCCCCGGGCTCCGGGCCCGTTCTGCACGGGGATTAGTCCGGAGAGGAGCGGGCGCGGGAGGGCAGGGTTCAGGGTCCCCTGGGCGCCAGGCGCGCCCGCGCGCACCGTGCCGACGTCCCGGGCCCCGGTCGCATCCTCTCCCGGCGCTCCCCGGGGACTGGGGCTGCTGCGGTCCGGTCCTCCAGGAGAAGGAAGGGGCAGAGCGGGGAAACCCTTTCATCCACCGATTATGCAGCAATGTCCTTGGCGCTCCCAGTCAAGGTGTCTGTCGTCTCCCGGTTCGGATTCACCCGCGAGAGCGGGGCAGGTTGGAGCGGAACCTCCGGCAGCCGCGCAGCCCCGGCGGCGTCCACGGCGGGCGTGTCCCCATCCGAAGGTCCCCTGCACCCGCCCCCGGTGCCGGCGGGGATCGCGCTCGGGGCGGACACGGCGGCGGGTGGGCCCGGCCCCGGCCCCGCGCCCCGTCCCGGGCTCCCGCGGCCCCTCCCGCCCGGCCCCGCTATTGTCTCACCGCGCGGGGCTCCGGCCGCAGCAGGGGGAGCGCTGGGGGCTCTCGGGCCGGACCCCCGCTCGGAGCCCGCGCCCGCCGCGCCCGCCCGGCCGCGTCCGTCCGTCTGTCGGTCCGCACGCCCCGCGTTCGGCCCCGGGGCCCGCCGCCTCCTCCCGGCGCCCGCCCGTCCCGCGCCGCGTCCGTCCGTCCGTCCGCGCGCCCCTCGCGCGCCTCCCGGTCCCGCCGCCCCCTCCGGGCGCCCGCCCACCTCCCGAGTCCGTCTGTCCGTCCGCCCGGCCCGCGCACGCCTCCTCCCGCCGCCCCCTCCCGGCGCCCGCCCGCCGCCCGAGTCCCCGCCCCGGCGCGGCCCGCCCCTTCCCGCCCCGCGCCGCCGGCGCCCGCCCCGCAGCCCGGGAAGTTCCGCCGGGGACTCCCCCGCAGACCCCCGGTACCCTGCAAGGCCCGCAGGAACCCCGCAACGGCGAAGGGCACCGCGCGTCCTCTCCCCGGGACAAAGCAAACCCTGCTTCTCACCGGCGAATCCCACATGGCGCTGCGCGCTTAGAACAGTTTCCTAGAAGTTGAACCCCAACTGCACTCCGGAAACCATCTGGGCTCTGATCTTCTCCTGAGCTTTCTCACGGCGACCTGGAACAAGGGATTTGGCTCTGTACCCCGATTTCCCCTTCTGTTATGAACAGAGACAGCTCCCCACCCTCACCTCCCCACCCCCTTCATGAATAGGTTATGAAAAATGTCCCTGACACGGGCTGGCCAAACCCTTAGAAGGGTGCGTGCCTCGTCAGTAAGTGTAAGCTATCCATATTTCATGGAAAACAGGCCTATCTGCACGAATGCACTTTCATTCAGGCAGCTCTCGCAGAACGCAGACGTGCGTTTTACCAAACGTGCGTGGGGTACACTTGGTCACAAGGAGCGAAGCTCACCAAGTCAATCCTGCCCTCCCGGGGCTGGTGGGGTAGAGGCCAGCATCATCCGTCAGGTATAGTGAGAAACTCAAGGATGAGGAAACATACGGTCAGGCCGGCTTCTTGGAGAACGTGGAAACAAAATCCAAACCGAGCTGGAGGCAGAGGAGGGACAGAGGGATCAGTGTCCTGGAAGGCCCATCAAAAGAGACGGGTGTAAGAGTTCCAGAAGTCTCCACTGGGCCCAAATGAGGCTGCAAAAAAAAAGAAGCAGAGAAGAAAAAAACTGGAGGACTCTTGCTATGATGTGCAGGTAACTGGACTTTTGTTATCAGAGGAGAATTCTAGAGAAATTGCTCCAGCCTAGGGTGGAGGTCGCAGGAGAGGGGTGTGCTCCTGGAGGCTGATGTGTTACTGAAAACTGACGTGAGATGCTGGTAAACTAGCAAAGGGGAAACTCCAGGGAAGGTCTAGTTGGAGGTGAGGAATGGGGCAGAAAAGCCAGCTCGGCCACAGCTGCTGGGACCAGAATGTACGCCCCAGAGTGTTTCTAGTTTGAGATGCCCAAGAAGCCTGCAATAAACATGTCTAGGAAGCAAACAGGATGGATTAGATTCCGACACTGAGAAGGAGCTTGATCATAGACCCTACTGGATCCTTGACAGTAAAAAGGTTTGGTAAAGAAATATACCTCTATCTCTCTTCTCTTCTCTTCTCTTCTCTTCTCTTCTCTTCTCTTCTCTTCTCTTCTCTTCTCTTCTCTTCTCTTCCTCCATCTGTGTGTGTGAAAGAGAGAGAGAATGAATCACCCTCCACCCCGCCAATCGTGCATGGATGGGGGTCCACAGAGACTCTCACCCTCTCCCTTGGCTGTAAATTCCTCGCCAGTGGGATCTGCCCTTTCATTATCATTTCCTTCAAACAACTCTTGGCACTGCAATCTGCATACAGTAATTGCACTATAAATACTTGAATCAAATTGAATTGAATATTTATCACATATGCCATGTTTTGTATTGAAAATCTCTTCTTGTGTGTTAAATATTATCTCTTTCCCTAAGAAAGGCAACACTGGCTCTGGCACCTCTCGCTTCTCCTTATCTGCTAGGCCCCCTCATATATCTACTGAGCATCTTCTGTGTGCCAGGAAGTCTACTCCCAGGGGCTGGCATTCTAGTGGGAAACACATACAGTGAAGCAAGGAAACACGCCCCAGAATGGGACATGTGTTCTGAGCAACAGCAGGATAAGGGAATCGAATGTGAGTGTGTAGGATGGGAGGAGTCTGTTTTAAAGGGGTGGTTGGTCACAGAAACAACCTCTAAAAACGAAGTAACATTTGAACAGAGACATCAGGAAACCCTGGAGATTTCTGAAAGGAAAATCGTTGTAAACATAGGGAACAGGAACGAAGCCTCTGAACATTCTCTGACACAAAAAGGCTGTTAGGCAAGGAGCAATAATACAGCAGGGTAAGGCACTTTCCTTGCTTACATCTGAGCTGGGTTTGATCCTTGGCATCTGATATAGTCCCCGATCCCTGTCAAGAGTGATTCCTGAGCACAGTGCCAGGAGTAAGCTCAGAGCACAACTGAATGTGACCCACCCCAAAAAACAAAAGCAAAATTACTAGTTAACGTACCTGAAATGCCATGAGAGAGAAAGGGAGGGGGGTGTGATCAGACAGGACACTGAGGCTAATCCTACAGGACTCTCAGGCCTGAGGCAGTTGGGTTTCTTTGGCTGCAGAACAGAGTCTTAGGAGGTTGAATAGGGACACTGAAAAAGAGGCTCTTGTACTCTTAAGTAAGAGTCTCAGCATGGCTCAAATGAGAGTGGAAGAGATACGGTTTTAAGAAATGGGTAGTGTCTGCAAACATTGTGAAAGAAAATGAGATGGAATTTCTGGAGAGTTTGACATAGATGAGAAGAGATAAAGGACAGTCCAGGAATCTTCCAGAAGGGTTTTTGTTTGTTTGTTTGTTTGTTATCTCAGACTTCTTTGGGACTCTTCAACCCCATTGGACTGCTCTGTCTCCTCCTGTAAGATTATTCTTCTGAAGATTCTACCACCAGCACCCTCCTGGTCACTTCATCCTTGAACCCAGAACTCTTGCTTCTTCTGTAAAACCTAGCAACCCTTGACTTTCATCTCCATCCTGGGTTTGACATGCTGGTTCCCAGCATAATAGCTTTTTGATTTGCACACTTATAAGTCTAAGATAGGCAGAGAGTAATGACAATCACTGGGCAAAAAGGGTTAAGGACAATAAAAAGAAGGGCTGTACCCAACTGCCATAGAAAGGATTAGATGAGGTCGTGTCACACAATGGCGGCTGTCCAGGGCCCTTTCCCGGAAATTATCCTCTAGCAGGGAAAGTAAGGGAAGAAACTCAGGGGGTCTGGAGCCCTAGTCCAGCTAGTGGGGCACTTGCCTCGCACTTAGTCAACCAGGGTTTAATATTTAGCATCCCATATAATCCCTTGAGTCTGCCAGGACTGACCCCTGAGCACAGAACCAGGAGTAAGCCCCGAGCACCACTGGGTGTGGGCCAAATCTCCTCCAAAAAAAAAAAAGAAGAAGAAGGAGAAGGAGGAGAAGGAGGAGGAGGTGGAGAAGGAGGAGAAGGAAGAGAAGGAGGAGAAGAAGGAGGAGGAGGAGGAGGAGGAGGAGGAGGAGGAGAAGAAGAAGAAGAAGAAGAAGAAGAAGAAGAAGAAGAAGAAGAAGAAGAAGAAGAACAACAACAACAACAACAACAACAACAACAACAACAACAGGGCAAAGGAGAGAAGGGGACAAAAGTCCCTCTGTAGCAAATCTATCTGATGCCCAGGTTAAATATTAGTAACTTGATCCAAAATATCCCACCCAGGAATGTTGAACGCTTTGCTGCATTGGTCTGGAGTCAGGTGGATGTTTTAGATGTCTTAATCTTCTCCATAGAGTTCATAGAAGCCTCGCAGAAGCATCACCTCAGCTGAGTGTTGCAGTGGGGAACAGAGCCAGTGTTGTCTGGCTGTCCTACCTTTCAAAAGAAGCAGGAAATCCAAAGCTTTGTTGAGTTCCTCCATAGCTATCCACTGGAAGGGGATAGCACTGTAGCACTGTCCTCCCGTTGTTCATCGATTTGCTCGAGTGGGCCCAGTAACATCTCCATTGTAAGACTTGTTGTTACTGTGTTTGGCATATCGAATACATCAAGGGGAGCTTGCCAGACTTTGCCATGTGGGCGAGATAGTCTCGGTTGGTTGCTTGCCGGGCTCTTCGAAAGGGGCGGAGGAATCGAACCCGGCTCGGCCAGGTTGACCGCATGCAAGGAAACACCCTAGCCGCTGTGCTATCACTCCAGCCCTGGAAGGGGTATTTAAAAATAAATCAAGGGGCTGGAGCGATAATATAGCGGGTAGGGCATTTGCCTTGCACGCAGCCGACCAGAGTTCAATCTCCAGCATCCCATATGGTCCCCCAAGCACTGCCAGGAGTAATTCCTGAGTGCAAAGCCAGGAGGAACCCCTGTGTGTTGCTGGGTGTGACTTAAAAAGA